TGTGGGAAGTAACAAAAGTGGATCTCATAGAGAGAGACAGAGTAGATTGGTGGTTACCAGAGGGTGGGAAGGGGGTTGGGGATGAAGAGGAAAAATAAAAAAGAATACAAATGTATTTATTACAACTGAACTGTACACTAAAAAAGGATAAAAATGGCAAATTATATATTATACCTTAATGAAAAATAATAAAAAATTTAAAAAAAAAAATTATAAATAGGTGAGGTGACGGATATGTTAATCTGCTTGATTTAATCATTCCATTGTGTAAAAATATAGCAAAACATCACACTGTATACCATTAATATATACAAGTTGTCATTTGTCAATTAAAATAAATAAATGCATAAAAAACAGAAACTTTTAATTCCAATAGTCAGTGGGCATGCAAATTAAACTGGCCAACATCCATTCAATTCAATACTAAATTAGAATACGTTGCCATTTATGTTATGAGTGATGAAAATATATGATACATATAATTTGTGGTGTTGGGTGGTGGTAAATGCATTCCTATATAAGCGATTAGCAATTTCTTAGATTTTTAAAAACCTGATCTCCATTCATTTATTTCTTCAGTGATTATTTATTGAACACACCCTGTTTCAAGACTGTGCTTAGACCCAGGAACACAAAAGGCAAAAGGTATCCTATGAGCTCAATCTAGTCTGGAGATAAAACAAATTTAGTAACTACATTGCCACATGGTCCCAGTAACAGCAGAGGTTAGCACGGGTGCTAGATGCTCAGAAAAATAGTGCAGTACCCAAACTGGAGTTATTACATGCTTTTGATAAAAGTGTATCTCAAGAACTCAACAGAGGGGAAATACACTTAACTAATGTGAAATAGTCTAATATAATCCCTCTTTTGAGGCCTCCAAGAAGTGCTTATGTATGAAGGTATGAATTGATGTGTTTTTAACATCTGAGAACCCCTTTATTCTTTCTTTATAGGTAGGACAGAGTTTTATTCATTTGCCTCCAGAATCTTCTGTACTGGACCACTTTTAGCAACACTGTAATGATTACAGGGGAATAGCTTAAAACGTCTTTGGCACAGCACGAAACACAGTTCCTTATCAACTTCACATGTGGTCAACTCCAACTATAGTCAACTACTACAGGTGTGTCCAAAAGAGTTAATATGCAGGCAGTTAATTCAGAGGCATTTAGAAGTGATTATGCAGTCAGTTAATGAAGATTACCACTACTCCGGGTCCATTTAAAAGATCTGTGCTGCTTTCTTTAGCACAAATCTGACTGTTCCTTCTATTAAACTGTTTATTACTCTACTAGCCAAAGCAATGTCTTTGTATCATGTGTATTTGAATTAAGACTACCAACTGATGATATACTAAGTTTAAAACTTATATAAAATATAACTTTAATAATAAAGGTTTGTTTTTCATTCCTCTCTATCTTGGTATTTCTTTCATCAACTGATTTATTTCATCCTCATCTGTTTCTAGCTTTACATTCTTCGGAGATTTGAATTTACAGTGTTTGAATGATGAACATATTATAATACTTTGGCTTTGGTTTATTGTAACACTTCTATATAGAAATGATTTCAGAAGGACTTCAATTTTGATATTACATTTATATTCAGAGAAAATGCTTACTTATAATAAATTTACTGATTTTAGCAAACATTTGAAGTGTTATTTTTCAAATATAAAAACATAGAGATAACAAGGGATAGAAGAGCATGAACTTTAGATTAAGGCAGGTTGATACTAATCTTGACTCTACCAACTAACTGAAAAATACTTCAAGAAGATGTATAACTGCCATATTTCTAGTTTCTTCATTTTTAGTTTCCTCATATTTCTACTTTCCTCATTTATAAAATGGGGATAATTATAGTTTATATGCAGTTGTTTTGAGGCACAGATATGAAATTTCTGGCACACATGTGTTCTCAAAAAATAGCCACAACATTCCACTTCTAGTTTAGCAATGTAAGCTCCAACCAAACTAACCCTTGGATAGATAACCCTAAACTTTGGCTAAAATATTAATACAAAAAAAAGTCACTTGAAGGTACTAAATAAAGATTAGAAGCAAGCAGATTCTGGACTACTACTGACACTTGGAAAAAGGTAACTGGATGAGGTGCCTTCTTAGGGTTTTAGCATGAGGACAGGCTACAGGAGGCACACACAGCAGCTACAACTCTGACTGAAGACCCATGGTTTTTGTGGTCAGAAGGTCAAAATTTGTAGCAACCACAGATGCTGGAAAGTGAGGAAGGAGCTGCAGAAAGAAGAGAACTAGAGCCACAAATTCTGTGTATGAACTCTGGCCAAATCTTTGGTGACCACTGAACCATAAATGCACAGGGATGAAAAGGATGAATGATTTCAAATGAGATTTGAGCTGCTTAGCAAGAAATATAGTTTGCAGTTTGAATCAAGTCAAGCCATCTAATAAAACAAACAGTTTTTTTGTTTTTTTTTGAGACAGAGTTTCACTTTTGTTGCCCGGGATAGAGTGCCATGGCGTCAGCCTAGCTCACAGCAACCTCAGACTCCTGGGCTCAAGCAATCCTACTGGCTCAGCCTCCTGAGTAGCTGAGACTACAGGCACACGCCACCATGCCAGCTAATTTTTTCTATATTTTTAGTTGGCCAATTAATTTCTTTCTATTTTTAGTAGAGATGGGGGTCTCCCTCTTGCTCAGGCTGGTTTTGAACTCCTGACCTTGAGCGTCCGCCCGCCCTGGCCTCCCAGTGTGCTAGTATTACAGGCATGAGCCACCATGCCCAGCCTAAAACAAACAGTTTTAAAAAGTAAAATACAATCAACACTCTTGGGAGGAATATAACAAATTCCAGTTTTCACAGAATAACATTTACTCTAAAATAAACCATATTAATTAGCAGACAACGAATTAAAAATAGCTTTCAAAAAATTTATAATGTATAAAAGAAAATAGGATAGTAATGACCAAAAAGATAAGACATCTCAGCAGAGAAATAAAAATTAAAAATCAAATGAAAATTTGACAACTGAAAAAATACAGTATCTGAAATAAAAATATCACTGGATAGGCTTAATCACAGGATAGAAAATACAAAGGAAAGAGGCAGCTCAAGACAGACTAGTTTGGAAAAGAGGACAAAAAATGAACAGAGCCTCAGAGGCCTACAGGGTAATACATAAGGATAGTTTCCCAAACTTTCTCAGTTCACAATATCCTTAGTGTCTCAGTAATTTCTTCCATGGTATTTACCCCAGGCCCAAATAATAAGTAACAATTCTGGTAACTGAATTATGAGGCCCAAACAACTTACATATGTATTTCCTAACAACTTTGTAGCTGTTAGAAAAAAAAATACACATCAATTGAAAAGAAATATGCCTTGATTGGGAGGTGTGTATCTGCTATAGCATCAATAAAGCACATATTATGAACACATAACTATTTGCTTCATACATGTACAAACAAACAAATATAAACTGGTAATGTAGGGATAGGATGAGTTTGAAGACTTTCCAAAAAGCTTCTAAAATATATTTTTGTTCTTTTTTTCATATTTTGGTAAATTGTACTAGCTCCCATCACAATAAAGATAAAAGTAACATGGAAAATGTGGTATGAGGAATAATACTAGGACTCTCAAAATTATACTGTCCTAATCCCAGGAACCTGTATGGTTACCTGACTTAGAAAAAAGACTTTTGCAGATGTGCAAAAGGATCCTGTTATGGAAAGACTACCCTGAGTCATTGAAGTGGGCTCTAAATATAACCACATGTAGCCTTGTAAAAGGGGAGGCAGAGAGAGGAATTTGAGACAGATAGAAGAGGAGATGAGAGTGTGATGGGGGACAGATCAAAGTGATGTGGCCACAAGTCAAGGAATGCTGGTAATCACCAGGAACTGGAAGTGACAAGGCAAGGATTCTCCCCTGGAACCTCCACTGGGAGCGTGGGCCTTCCAACACCTTGACTTTGACTTAGTGGTACTGATTTTGTACATATGACCTCTGGAACTATGAGAGAATAAATTTCTACAGTTTTCAGCCACTAAATTTGTGGCAATTTGACATAGCAGCCACAGAATACCAATATAGCAGGTAAGTAATTTCTTATGATTTCAAGTAAATTTAATGGGAGAAGAAATGGAAATGAAAGAGATTTACCACTTATAATATGATGTTGAGATATTATTAGGTCTTTTTTAACAGAGAAAATATGCCTATACTACGCCCAGACCTATGCTTATTTTACATGGCAGTACCATTTATAACTGTTCTGACACTGCTCTGATCAGTAATACTCGGCAGAGGAAGTGACTTTTTGTTTTCTCATATGAACTTGGAGATATACAAGAATGCAATTTTAAATTATTTCAATATAAATTTTATCTAAAAAAATATATATGGTCACTAGGCTAATTGAAAAAAAATTATGTTACTTCTTGCCAATGACTTAATAAAAATTCTGTGTTCCTGGCCCAGCTCAAGAATTTTAGATACCACAGAGCATTTATAGTGACTAAAATGATAATAGGCATTTGGACACACTCCTGGTGCCTGACACTGTGCTTAGCATTGGTAGTGTGGCCATAAACTAGCCTGAAGCTATACTTAGTGGGAAAACACAGAAGACCATTATCCCAACCTGCATATCAATGTTATCACTTCCATTAAAAATAAGACTCATTTTAACAAATTAAAACATTAATGTTGTAAAAAATTAATGCTAAAATACATATTTTTAGAAATAGGTTGCCCAGGCTGTAGTACAGTGGTTATTCACAGGGGCCATGATAGCACACTGTGTTCTTAAACTCCTTGCTTTAAGCAATCTTCCTGTCTCAGTCTCCAGAACAGCTGAGACTACGCGTGTATGCTAATATGCTTGGCTGAATACAGGTTTGTACAGATATGCTGATAGAGCTGTTTCTGGCTATTAATAAAGAAAACACTCAAACTATTGCCATGGTACTCTAAACTACCAAAAAAAAGTAAGTCAATTAATTGCACCTACCTGGTTATTGTTGGCGTTGGTACACCTCTTGTACGCAAGGTAGGTTTTCCTCGAACCACTGGAACATCTGCATTTTCTGAACCACCATTTAAATATGTTAATTCTTGAAGCTGTGCTTGCCTAATCTCATCATTATAGTCCTACAAAAAGAAGATAGCATAATTTATCTCATATCAGAAATATAAAAATATTTTGAATAAAAAGCTAATAATTTATAATAGAAAAAAAGGTTAGGAAAATCGTTCAATTCACAAAACAAGATATGAGTTTTGTAAATTAAAAATGTGTCAGCAAATTTTTGTAAAAAGGGAAAAAAGCCACAGTATTTTTCCCCGAGCTAAAATTTTCTCTTTTTTTTAATTTTTTTTTTATTTTAACATATTATGGGTGTACAAGTGTTAAGGTTACTTATATTGCCCATGCCCCCCTTAAAATTTTCTATTATCACTCCTTTCCCTGGGCATACTTTCCAAGTGAAACATTTATTAAAAAAAAATTAAAATACCATATCACTGATATGTGGGCATTGTTATTTACAACTTAATTCAACTAGCAGTTATTGAGCACCTCTGATATTCCAAGTAACAGAAAGACAAAAAGGAGTAAGCCACAATTCCAACAGCCAAGGACCTAGATCCAGCAAAAGAGAAGGATTTACCATGTTTTCCCGAAAATAAGACAGGGTCTTAAATTTATTTTTCCTCAAGAAGACACTTATATTCAGGTTTATATTCAGGGGATGTGTTATTTTTTTTTTAAGTACTATACAACAATCTACATTTATTCAAATATAGTTAAGTTGTCTTCTTCTGGAACATTAATTATAACTCTCCAAACCCTGAATTCCATCCTGAATTTCTTGCAACTCTATTTCCTTTAGAACCACTGGCCCCAATCTCTCACGTCAAGCAATAAAGCTCTCATGGAGCAGATGAGAAGGACTACTCGCTCCGTGACAAAATGCATGGGTTGTGCAGATATGCTGGGTAGCCATGCCCATCAGTAGGTCTTATTTTCAGGGTAGGGCTTATATTGCGCAAATACTTAGAAGTCCTGCTAGGGCTTATTTTATGGGTAGTCTTATTTTTGGTGAAACATGGTACATAAAACAGGATAGCTTTCCTGAAACTAAGAACCGTATTTACACATTCTTTTTGTACATTTTTATTTATATATTGTACAAGTTATGAACTTCAACATTTTTTAAATTGAATACATAATATTATTCCTGAAAAATTCCTCTTTTTCCATCTTATATTACTGTCCAAATACCTAACTCACAAACTTACGGAATCATCCCAGATGCCTCCCTCTTTCTTACCACCCTCAACTCCATTCAGTAATCATCAATAAAGACATGGAATAAATAAATGTAAGTGTGATCTGCTATACAATAAAAAAGAAAGTTCAGGTCTAAAGGATCAAAAAGGAAAGTTATCTAACTCAGCTGTCAGTAGTAAGATAGGTTCTCTACACAAGTGTCATCTAAGGATGAGTGAGAACTATTAATAATTAATTACCAGAAGAGGGGTGGCAGCATATTCCACACAGAAAGAAATACATCTTTGAAAACCCAAAGTAATGTTGAGTATAGGGAACCAAAAGAAGTTCTATATGGCTGAATTGTAAAAACAATTTGGGGTGGGAACAGGGGCTTAAAGTGGAAAAGAAAGCAGAGGCCAAATCACACAAAGCTTTAGGTCATTTTCAAGATAACTTGAAATGTTTAAAATTAAGGGTACTAAGAAGTCATTCATGATTTTAAGAATGTGAGTTACATATTTAGGTTTATTTTTTGGAAAAATCATTCTAGCATTATTAAATATAGATAACATAAGACTGAAAGCAGGGATCAAGACACCTCAAAACATACATGCTTCTCAAGTATACATGGAACATTTTCAAGAATAGACTATATACCAGGCATTGCATAAGCCTCAATAATTTTAAAAGGACTGAAATCAAATAAAATGTATTTTCACATCACAATGAACTAAATTAGACACCCACTAAAAAGAAATTTATGAAATTCACAAATATGTTAAAAATGAATAACATAATGAACAGTATCATTAGATCAAAACAGAAACCTCAAGGAGAATTTAAAAATACCCTGAGATGAATGAAAATAAAAATACAACACACCAAGATTATAGAATGCATCCAAGACAGTGCTCAGAGGAAAATTTACACCTTTAAACGCCTATATCTTAAAAATAAAAGATTTCAAATCAATAACCTAAACTTTCACCTTTAGGAATAGAAAAGAAAAACTAAACTCAAAGTAGGAAGAAAAAATAACAAAAGGGCAGAAATAAATAAAATAGAAAGCAATACAGAAAAAGCAACAAAATCAAAGAGAAAAGACTCAGATTATTAAAATCAGGAATGAAAATGGGATACCACCTGGACTTTTAAGAAATAAGAAAGGATTGTAAAAGAATACGGTAAACACTTATATGCCAAAAAATTAGATAACATAGATGATATGGATAAATTCCTAGAAAGACAAAAGGTACCAAAACTGACTCAAGGAGAAATAGAAAATCTGAACAGATGATAATGTGTGACATAGTAAGAAGTATATATTCAGTCTCTGTCCCAGGTTCCCTTCACAGAGATCCCAAACCTCTAGGAATCTAGTGAGTAATAGAGGGGAGACAAGCATCTTTTGTTATTCATAATAAGCCCCTTTCAACTACACCAGAGTTTATGTTAATGAAGTGACTGGAGGATGAGGGCTGGTTGCCAGAAAGAGCAAGGCAAGATTAGAGGGTTGGAAGTTTCAGCTGTACCCTCTAGGGAAAGGAAAGGGATTGGAGATTGATGCAATCACCAATGGCCTATGATGCAATCCACCATGCCTAAATAATGAAGCCTCCATAGAAACCTTAAATGATGGGGTCATAAGAGCTCCCAGATAGAGGAATCCATGTGCCAGGCAGGTGGTTCATCGCCAGCTCCACAAGGATAGAAGCTCCGGCACTGCAGACGTTCACACCTTGTCCTGTGTATCTCTTCATCTGGCTGGTCTTCTGTATCTTCATATAATAATAGCTTTTATAATAAACTCATAATAGAAAGTGAATTATCAAACCCAAAGGAGGTTTGTGGGAACTCTCCATATGTAGTCAGGTTGGTCAGAAGTACATAAAGGCCTGAGAATTAATACTGGCACCTGAGGTGGGGACAGTCCTGAGGGACTGAGTCTTTAACCTGTGAGGTCTGATGCTAACTCCAGATAGTGTCAAAATTGGAAGACATTGTAGGACACTGAGTTGCTGTCTGGAGAATTAAAGAACTGGTGGTGTGGGGAAAAACACACGCACACATTTGGTGTCAGAAGTGTTGTGTGTAGAAAAATAGTTTTTTCTTTAACAAGAAAAAATACAAAATTGGTACTCAAAATGTTTCTTGCAAAGAAAAGCCTATACCCACATGATTTCAATGGTGAATTCTAACAAACTTTTAATGAAGTAGTAATGCTAATCTTTTACATATTCTTCAAATATTTAACAGACAGGAACACTTCCTAGCTCATTCAATGAGACCAGTATTGCCCTGACCCAAAAACCAAAGACATCACACACAAGAAAACTACACACAAATATCCTTATCAGTACAAATGTTAAAGCTGTCAAATAAGAAAAAATTAAGAAACCAAATGCAGCAGCATAATTTACACAAAAGAACCAAGGTGAATTTACCACACAATTACAAGTTTGATTTAATCTGAAAATCCATTAATGTAATAAAATAATAAGATGAAGGACAAAAAAACACATGATCATTTCTATAGACAGAAAGAAAACATTTGACAGAAGAATCCAACATAGTTCAATGATAAAAACATTCAACAATCTAGGAAAACCCACAGCTAACATCAAATTTAATGGCAAAACACTATGTCATCCTAAGACAAGACAAAGATGTCTATTCTCACCACTTCTATTCAACATTGCACTTGAAGTTCTAACCAGGACAATTATGTAACAAGAAGGAAAAGTGGCATCCTGACAGGAAGGAAAGAACTAAAACAATCTCTGTTCACAGGTGGCATAAACTAGTATACACAAAATCCTAAGAAATCCACACACACACACAAAAATTGAGCTAGTAAGTTAGTTTAGCAAGGTTGCAGGATACAAGACCAATACACAAAACTCAGTTCTTATTTCTTTATACCAGCAATGAATAACCCAAAAATGAAACTAAAAATCAGTTTCATTTACATCAGCATTAGGAATAGCATACTTAGGAATAAAATAACAAAATAAAAGCAAGATTTATAAACTTAAAATTACAAAACATTGTTGAAAGAAATTTTAAAAGATCTAAGTAAATGGAAAGATACCCAATTTTTACAGACAGGAGGACTTAATAGACGGTAATAATCTCCAAACTGATCTACAGAGTCAAGGAAATTTCAACCAAGATCCCAGTCTGCTTCTTTACAGAAAATAGACAAGCTGATTCTAAAATTCATATGGAAACGCAATGGACCCATAATAGCCACAACATTCTTTAAGAAAAACAAAACTGGAGGAATGGCATGTTCCCATTTCAAAACTTACTAGGAAGCTATAATAATCAACACTGTGTGGCATAAGGGATAGACATAAATATCAATGAAATGGAAGTCAGAGCTCAGGCATGAGTTATGGTCAACTGATTTTTAAGTAGCTTCTTTTACAACTGGTACTACAACAACTGGATATTCATATAAATGTAAATAAACTAATAAATGAATGAACTAATGAACAGATAGAGTGGGACCCCCTCTTCATTCCATATATAAAAATTAGATAAAATAGATCATAGACCTAAATGCAATAGCTAAAACTATAAAACCCTTAGATGAAAAAACATAAGGAGCAAATCTTCACAAAGGAGACTGAAAGGTGTGGCAAGAAACTGAGAAAGGTAAGAAGAAAATTGTATTATGAAAGCCACAAGAAGTCAGTGTTGTATTCACATTCTGTCAAATAGCCAAGTCCTAATTCCCTGGGATTCACTAACAATAAAACCACTACTGACTTCAGGAACCATATTTTTGAGGAAGGGTGGAGCTGGAATCCATTTCAGTGGGATGAAGAGTAAATAGCTGTAAGTCATAGACACAGTAAAGGCAGGCTGCTTC